AGCTGTCACTGAAGGCTTATAATTTGATTTCAGTGTCAGTTTTTGTGGCAAGCTGTCAAACTACAGTTTAGCAGGTATCCATCAGAAGAGAGGCATATGCAAATTATCTTCTGAGAATATCCCAAATTCAATCATTAAAAAATTGCCATCCAAACTTTGAATTGAAAGCACAGGTCTAGACATACCTCAAGACCAGTATCCAGATTTGGTGGCACATTGATATTTTGCTAGTAAGGTCATCAGAAGAAGCTCCTGGGTCATCATCTAGCACTATGCAACATCTTGAAAATCCTTTGGATGGGAAGGAAGCAAACTGGGAACACACCATGCTCCTGAAACTACTCTTCCAGTGAGATGTAGACTTATCTATGCTGTGCAAGATCCCTGCTGGGTATGAGTTTGTCATGATTATCCATTATTAACATGGAAGCAGGTTGCTATGTACCAATATTTCAGCAAAAGTGAATTGAGCTCCATATTATTATCTGAGGTAAACAGCCCATAGTCATCAGCCTGTATTGTGTTCCACTGATTTGGTAAATACACTTCCATTCAGCTCATAAAGCAAAGTGCTACCTAACTTAAAAAAAAAATTCCCCAACAATACAACTTATCCACTGCCACAATGCAGTGAAATTAAAAATACTCTCATCAAATGAATAAAAAAAATCATTTTTTAAGATAAAAATATGAAAATTTGGCAAATTAAGTGTGCTCAATCTTGAAAAAAAAAAAGGTACACTTTAAAATATCTCCAGCAAAAAAAGTGCCAGTCTACTGCAGGTGGAATAAAAATTATGCCATATAAGAGAAAGGGTGACAATTCATGTGAAGTGATAGTCATACAGTGCTAAATAATTGTAATCCAAGTTTGGGTCTTGCATGTGCTATTTATGATCTCAGTGTTGTCAGCTTAAGGGATTTAGCGTGATACAAATACAGTGAACATGCACATTGTGCTAGGATCTCTCCCAGGATGTGATTTATTTCTGTCCTCAGATAGGTATATCAGATTCTTACCTACACCATCCGCAGTGTGAGGGGTCTGCAGAAGACCAGGGTTAGGGTAGCCCACCAATAATGTTTTTCCTGACTTCCTCCATCCAGCTTCTTCTGGGCAGTCCTTTGACCTGTTAGCAACACAGGTAACAGGACGTTCATTCTTCTAGCTCAGGCATTCACCATGAGTTGATAGGACAGAAGGTTTCAATTCTTCCTAACATTTTGCTCCTTTTCTCTAAAAGTGGTAAGACAGACAGTTCTGAGAAAGGTGATGTTTTTAAATCTTTTTTCTCCTAGGGGCTTGCAGTTAAAGTGGTAGGCAGGTTATGACATCTGTGTTGAGATGACTGACATGGACAATTTATTTATATTTGGTAACAGAATGAATTTCATAATGTAAAATTGCCAGAGGTAAAAATTAAAAAGCTATCAACAAAGCATGGTAATTTAATGCTAATGTTAGACTAAACCAAGCAGGTCCAGGGATTTTGGAGTTATTAATTTTTATTTGCTGTAATGACAGCAGCAGAAGCAGGAAGATGGAGTCAATAATTTATTTTCTTGCCAGAACACAGATGAAAATGGCAGTTCCTGAAGATACCTGCAGAGGCATTAAACCTGCATATGATGGCAGCAGAATTTTTGAAACCATAGATCTTTTATAATGTAAATAATCAGCAACTGCCAAACAGAGTTTAACACTACCACCAAGATTCCACTAAAGACTCCTGAAATAATTGTTTCTGTGCAGGCAAAGGCACCTCAAGCTGAATGGATAGTGACTAAGTGAAAAAAAGGATGGACCATATTCTCATGAAAAACATTAGTATGCTTGTAGACCAAGGAGAAAGAGAAGTACGTTGAGAGGAAATGACTGGCAGGGACATGAAAAGAAATATGGATCAAAGGCAGTAGCCTCATGTTTATATTCCAGTTCCCTCAGGTGTTATCTGGACAGCTAGCTCTGTCATAAAATAAGGGAAGACTTGCTTTGGGGTAGAGAAGTTAACAATTCAGGTAATCAGGAAATATGATGCTGGGTGAAGAAACAATTCTTGAGCAGAGCACTCTGCAACTCTCTGTTCTACAGAGTTTTACTTTTGAACTTTGAACCGTCTTTGGTCACAAATGACGACAAGAGTCTTTTCAGACAGAGCAGATGGAGACTGCTGAGTTAGGCCAGGTTTTAGCACTGTTGACGTGGGAGCTCTGTATATGTTGGTTCTGCTGGGCGAGGTGGGCCCAAAGCTTCCCCCTTGTCTGCTCAGACTGACACACACAGTGGCACAGAGGGCACTGTGATCTGGCTGGGACTCACAGACTTCCAGATTTGGGCTGGAAGTCACTCTCAGAGATAATGGCACAAAGAAGTAAGGTTACTTGTTTTTTTGTGAGCCACAGGGGGATGACCGGCCTGAAGTGGCACCTGACCAAATGGAGGTCCTTATCTCTTGTACATAATCATGAAGATTTAATCTAGATTAAGATTTAATTGTGAGTCATCTCTTTCTATTTAATCTAAAGAGATGACTCATGATTATGATTCCTCATCCTTGTGTGATATCAGTTAGATCTTTTTTTTCTAAAGAGAAACTAGAGAATTCAAGTTATTTCTTCCATTAAAAGCTCTTTATGTTATTATTACAGCAAAAGAACAAACTAGAACTGCATTAATACATTAATGAAAATTTTTAACTCTATTCTGCCTAATTTAGAGGGACAGATATAATGTATTTCCCAACCAAAGAAAGTAAAAAAAAAAGCACTTTGGAGGCCAAATGAAGAAAAAAGTAAATTAAAAGAAGTGAGATCAGCTCATAGGATAATGACCCTGAGGAAAAATGTAAATAAATTTTCTACAAATGACAAAAAAAATCTTCTGGAGAATTTATTTAAATATAACTTTTTCTACTGGTTATCAAAGAGTTAAAGCCAAGGAGAGTGAAGAGGGAGCCCAAAGAATTACAATTTAAAGTCAACAATTTCTAACTCTATTATTTATCACCATGCTACCAAATGAATTTTTTTTTCTTAAAGTCTTTTATGGTGTGAATACAATTGAATTCTGCCTTAGTGCTGGGACAGTTAATAGTGAAAAGCATAATTACAGACAGCAAAGTCAATAATATGCTTAATTCAGGAAAGACAAATTCCTGTTGATGATAGCTTCTCAAATACATTTTATTTACATTTTAGAAAACATCTGTCCCTACTCATATTACAAGTTAACTACGATTATCTATGCCCTTCTGCTAGTGAAAAGCACATTCAGGATTCTGCACAGTAGAATAATGTCTCTAATAGGACTTTCCTTTCATGATTTTCTTGTCTGTTTCACTAATAAATAGATTATTGATGCTAATGAACTCATGCTTTATCAAACTGCTCAACAGACTACATTGTTATGTGCTTATTCTGTATATACATGAACTTTTCATATTTCTCAATTCACAGGACTCATTTCCTCATAATTTTTTTTCATTTCCACATGAAAATGTGACAGTGCTTGACTTAAATTTTAATTCTAAGGGAGAAAAAAATCTGAAATGGTAACCCTACATTTGTTAAGCAATTAAGGCCAAAGGTAGCTTAGATTTGATTTCTAGATAAGGCAACATTATCTTGTAACAGAGTGGTACCTAGATAGTTTGGAACAGCAGATGTAGGATTCAATCATCCTAGCATAAGGTGTCCTTTGCTGAGGTCCTCATGGTTTTCAGCTGCCTGTGCAGGGCTGTGAATGTCTCACAGGTCCTCCCATGAATCTGACCCTCTGCAGTATCCCATTTAAATTCCTGTGGTTATATGTAGGCAATGGGAAGCCCTCCCTAACACCCACAAGCATCAGTAACTTTGTGTGGGTGCCTGTGCAGGAGCAAGGGGCCATCCCAGCCTGTACACCTGGTCAGCCTCAGGAGCTGGCTGGGGGTTTGCTTTAGGATACTGGGATCTGTTTTAGGATATTAGGATCTGCTTTAGGATGCTTTAGGCTGCTGGGGGTCTGCTTTAGGATGATCTGATAAAGTAGGTCGATGTTATGTAAAGGACTTCTGTAAGATCATGTGAGATTAACAACATCACTTAGCAGCATATCATTAAACTGCTGTAAATAGATGGAAATATTTTTCCAGCCCTTTGTCTTTCACACAGCTTCTTTCTGTGGCTGTGTGCGCGCCTGGCTTTAACTGCTCTGCTTAACTTGTCTGAGACTGATTTCTGTGGTGCTAATGGTCATGCATAAAGCAAGCACCCTTTCATGGATTAAACCACTTTAATTATAGAATGTTTTTCTGCTTGGAAAAAAAATTAACACATTCTTCTTTGTTTTGCAAACCAAATTTTTATTTTATAAGATTTAGTTTTCAGCTGGTTCACAGCAAAGACTCTAGGGACATTGTAACTCTTATTCATAAGTATTTAATACCTAGTTTGTCTACCTGAAAGTAAATTATCCATGATGTCTATTCTGAAAATCCCCTGAGATTTCCAATCCCCTAATGATCAGTTAGGAAAATAGCGTAATTTAGTTTAAAACATGCATTTCTCACACAATTTTTTTAAGGTTTCGGTTAGAAAAATATAGTTTGTGGTTCTTTACATAATCAATCCATATTCAAACTTATTTTGTATTGCATGCACCTTGTTGCAAAATCCTTCTTTTTTTCTCTGAGGTTTTCATAACTTTTCTTCAAACCAATCTGTCTGCTCTGTTTGCCCAGTTGTTACTGAGATGTAAAATCAGTCACAAAAAAGACATGTTGGAGTCTCCTTTGGCTCCAGCTCTATTTTGCTGTTGACCAAGGTACTTCTATACGGTAGTGTGCCCCATGATTCCACAAGGGTAGCTGAGATTTACCTCTCTAGGTCAGCAATGTCCTGTGACAGCATCTTCATTCTAAGTTTGGTTAGCAACAAGGAAACGCCCATTAGGATACCTGCTTATTTTTTTCATTCTGAAACTAAGATTTTTAAATCTCTTGTCTTTCTCTAGGGTTACAATACAATGTCTTCCCACCTAGTGGGTGGGTGCTGGCCTGAGGTTCAGCTAACTGAACAAGATACACAAAGCAAAACTTCCAGACATGGGAAATTGCTGGCTATGCTGGATATCTGTGAGAAGCTGAGTGCCATGAGCACTGGCTGGACTTCACAGTTTGCTAAAGAGAAGGTATATGAGACAGCCGGACTTGACAAATGACTGAAGGGCAGCAGAATCTTCAAAGGCTGAGCAATTCCTGGAAAACTGGCATAGTGATACATTGCAGAGCCAAGATTATCCAGGTAATTGTAATATCAGAAATATTTGATGCAGGTGTGGACGTACCAAAACTGAGACCAGTAGGGAAAACATAATTTGGGCAGGTTGTTTATTTGGTAAAAGGTTGGGGATGACAAAAGAGCATATAAGAATGAAAATTGGGGTCAAGAAATGAGAAAAATGGTAATCAGATATATATATAAAAAGTGCACCTGCTGCTGTCTAGGGCTTGATCACTTCAGCTCTACAAGGACCATAAATCAAGCTCAGACCATGTAATGTAAGTGAAACGTATATCCATACCATGGAGAGCATGGGGGAGCAGGGAATTTTCCCTGGGTAACTGGAAAAAATGGAATGGAGTGTATCATCATGTCAGTGCCCTTTTGAAGATGACAGCTTTGGCAACTACCCAGAAATAATGTTTTTATTTGAAAATAAAATAAAGAGACAGTCCAGAGGATCTACTGATGATGTGAATGCCTTCCAGTTACTGCTAAAATAGTACAGGTGAAACTCTGACTCACAATCAAAGCTATGATATAAATAAGAAGTAGCAGCAGGAGAGTTTTTGCGAATGTGCAGCTGCAGGTTCTGGTTTTGGCAGTAGTGGGCCTTGGTGACTTGTGTTCTGAGGCTGTTTGTTTGCTCTCCAGCAAAGTTATGGTGAAGTGGATTGTAGCTTTGAACAGATAGGAGAAATGCTCATCAAAATCATCTGTTCTATTTTTGAGGTGTGGAGGAGGAGGAGGAAGAAAATTAAATATTACTTCATAGCCATGCACTATATTCTACTCCACTATTGACTAAAAATAGTGCAGAACAGAGGTTACTATATCTGGATTATGTTGGGATTATTTTTCTAGTATCCCTAAATAGCCGACTGAGGATCTCTCTATGCCATTCATATTAATTAATTAATACAATGAAACAGTAGATAAGTTTTAGAGGCCTGGAAGAAGTCATGACTATTATCTATTGAAAAGAAAAGAATGTCGTCAGTGAAAAACTAGATTGCACTATGAGAAATAATGTATAGCAGATCGATAAATATGTATGTCTGTGTTCATAACTGAGCTTCTCAACTCTCAGACAGAAGCCTGTTCCTGGTCACTGCAACTTGTTCAAACTAGTTGTGAAATTCAATGATATCTGGACTCCATCATCTCACTGGTGGGTTTCTAGTGGAGTTCTGTGGAAATCGGCTCTTGTCCTGTGCTGTTTAATATTTTCTTTCATCTGTATCCTGAAAGAAAATAATTTAAAATCTTAGTTTCTGCAGGTAAGTGACAAAACTCTTAGAGGATAAATAATAAAATAGACAAGTGTTCTGTAGCCTTTGAAACAGAAGTTCAAGAAAAAAAAATAATTAAAGGATAATACACCAATAAAAGGGTTGGGGTGCTGCAAAGGGCACTTGAACATCTTGTGCTCCTTTTGTATTGAGTAGACAGTAATTGGCATTTCTGAAATGTGACTTGTCCTGGAGCAGAAATAAAACTGGCCAACAGTATGGCCAGTTACCTGTTTTTCTCCCTTAATCATAAAGGGAGTGAGTCATGATCAATTGACTGAAATGTAGATTTTGTCCTGTAAAGATTTGCAGCTATGTGTCACAAACCATGATTGCTGCCATGTCAAAAATAAATGTGTTGGCTCAATAACTGCATGATTGGAAATTATTAGGGAGGTGGGACTCTCTGAGCAAAAGTAGGTGTATACTTCTTGGCAAACTCTTGGAATACAGATATTAACATATTTTGAGGGACTTCTGTCAGCTACCCCAGTTGTTTTATATAAAAGTTCCAAATCCAGGAAAAATTAGTCAAAAACTTCTGGAATAACAAAACTATTTTCTTTGTGGTAAAGTGCTCCTGCTAAGCTCTAAATTCTATTTCTCAGCTTAAAGGATAAGATAGAATAATTTAGAAATCTTTGTAATACAGACCTATTTTCACCCCTATTTATTTTTCTTGCATTATATTTTTTTTCTTTGTTAAAAACGTTTAATTTTCTACCATTTCACAAATAACAAATGGGAAAACTGAGCAGCTGTTAACCTTTCAGAAACATTTCTTCCTCTATGTTTCCAATGTCCCTTGTTCTGAAGAATATTATTCTGTATTCAGGCCTAGGCTACTCTGTGATCTACATGTGTTATTTCCACTGCACTGAGCGTTGTTGTTGCTGTTTTTATAAGGAATGTGCAACAGAATCCAAGACTAAAGAGACAGAGTTCAACCAAAACATCAAAAGGCCTGCCCTTCAATGTTTTTTCATCGATCTCAGGTTCTTCTCACTTACCAGGTCTATATTTGGGCCATGGTACATTAAGAAAGATGGTGCTTGAATTCTGATGAGAGCTGCAGAACTATTGTTCTGGGCCATGAACAGCCACATCTTTTCTCTCAAGGGCTTTGAGATGAAGCTTATTAAGTCTTATACAACACAGACTATAGATAGGAGAGGAATATATTTGCAATCCTACCCAGCTCAGATACATATCAGATCATTGTCCCCTATATGTGTGTTCTTATCTGCAAATTGTAATCTCCTTCTGAGGAGAGGTATCTTGGCTCTTGTGAAAACTATTTCCAGTAGAGTCTTCCTCAACTTGTCTCTATCTTCTGCTTACTCCTGTGATTAAAAGTAATGGAATGTCCTATTAATGGTGCAAATGCTGTTTTGTTATCCTAATTATTCTCTTGGCCATTAATGAAAAGAAGAAAAGCAATCCTAGAGGTCATGTAGCACTGGAGGAACATGCAGTTTCTGCTCTGTGTTTGTATTTTCTATTTTCATTAAATATTTCAGGCGCAGCTCTGCAAAGCAATAAACACCTAGGAAGAAAATAACCTGAAGTATATGAGAATCTGAAAATAACACTGGTAAAACAATAATGAAAGAAGTATAAGAGAAAAAGGTGCCATTAAAACAAATGCAGTGGCACTTCTGTTACATTTTTATCCATTTTTTCTTATATTTTATTTGAAAAGTGAAGTTTATGTACCGGGATAGATGAGATAGATGGCAAAGAACCTCAGAGTAATTGAAAGCAGGTCGTTGTACTTGCTTTACCCATACAGAGCACTCAAGCTATCGCAGCACAAAAGAAAGAATAAAAGGATGTTTGCTCCTATGTAAAGCAACCCACAGGAATGCAATACCTATTTGCTGCCTGCCAGGTGCACACCAAGCTGCTCTATCACTCCACTTTCTCAACAGGGTTGAGGAAAAAAATAAAATGAAAATCTAGTAGGCCAAGGTAAAGAACACAGAGATTGCTCATCAGTAGCATCACAGGCAAAACAGACTCATTTTGGGAAAAATTAATTTAATGTATTGACAATTAATCACAGAAGGATAACAAGAAAACACCTTTAAACCCACCACATTCCTCTCTACTTCCTAGGCTCAACTTCACTCCCAAGTGGCCCAGGAGAACAGGAAATGGGCTGCAGTCAGTTAATGTTTATTCTCTGCTTTTCCTTCTTTCTCATGCTCATGCCTTGTGTTCATGTCAGCCAGTAGGGACCTGCATGCCCTTGTGCACTGCATCTCTCTTAAAGCTGTACCCCAGTGTGAGGTGGGCTCTAAATTGGTGGGCTCTAAAATGACCAGAAAATCAATGACTTCTGGAGACAGCTTGAGAGTTGGCTGTCCTCAACACCTGCATGGTGGCATTGGGCTGTGCAGCCTGCACCCATCTCACCAGAGCAAGGGATGAGTGCTGGCAGGGCATGGGGCAGGGAGGATACACTGTCTGAAATTGCTCCCAGAGAATGGCCAGAGCTCACCAACAAAAGGACAGTTTTGAAAGACAAAGACTCCTGAAAAAAATTCCAGTGGTTTAGACAGCACAGAATTGAGATAGCTTTTGATAAATTATTTTTAATTTGCAGCTTCACACTGAAAGTCAAGAGATTTCACAGCCTGATGTGAAGTCCTATGCTGTTCCTTTTCTCTGACCAGCTTCTTCTTATTTGCTTATTTTTAGCCTTTTCTCTCTTTATAAAGAAGCATCACTAATGCATTTATAAACTCTAGATGTGAGGTCTCTTCAGTAATCAGTGTACCTAATGCAATTCTCTTAGGCAATCTTTGGATTGCTCTTAATGAGAGGTTCTGAGGCAAAGAAATGATGATGCTGGAGGGTATTTTAAAAAGAGAGCTCTTTGACCCAGGACTTCGATTAGATGCTGTACTGAGGCAGATGTCTTTATTCAATACCCAGAAAACAAAGTTATTGCCTTTAGCTAGCAATAATTGTACAAAAATATATTTACAAGTGAATGAACATTTACAATGACAATTGAGCAGTAACACTCGTTTTTCTCTGAGGCAATTAAAATATCCCATCTTACTCTAGGTCATTTCTTTGTCCAAGTAAATGAATAATTATTTCAGATAGATTCTTAGGAAAGCAAAAAATAAAATAAAAAAAAGTGAAAGCAACAACAACAACAACAACAGCAACAACAAAACACCCTGGAAGAGAAATGCAATATTGAACAACTGCCAAAAATTTAGAAGTGTGGCCAGCTTTTAATATTTTCTGAAGGTTTAAAAGATCAGACCTGATTTAATACCACATTGCTTCATTTCACAAGGGTTTTCATTCATTCATATAGAGATAGGACAGACAATAAGCCTTAACAATTGCCAGTATCAAGTGTAAAGTGCATTCCTAAGGGTGGAAGGCCAGATGGTATGAACTGTGAAGGCCAGTTAACCTTTCCATGTCTAAACTTTCCCACACATCACAACTGAACACTTGGACTAGGTGGTCTTGGAGAAGAAGGAATTTCAAGTATGTTTTGAAGGAAGAATCAAAGTGTTTGATTAAGAACATGGAGTATTCTTTACCTTTCAACTCTTTTGTAGATCTTCCAACTTCCCTTCAATTCCTGTAAATCTATGGGACTTCTCTTATTAAAATTACAAGCCAGACTCTTAGGGAGGATAAAGACCCCTGTGAGACTTTTCACTTAATTCCCAAAGGAATAGGTCAATGAACAAAGCATTTGCAAGAGAATGAGTAGAATCAGCCCTGAGTATGCTTTCCAAAGTTTAGAATACTTAAGTTTTTTTCCCCCATTTAGTATTGCTTATTTACGGGAAATAAAAGTTTTGTGATAATTTTAAAGCACTCTTTATGTTATTTATTCTTTTGTTTGCCATTGTTACTGTTATTGTAGGATGATTGAAAATTAATTGTGAAACATTTTCCCCAAAGAACACTGAGCTAGAGTTTTTTTCCCCTTGGTGGGGAACAATCAATCGTTGCATAATACTTGTACTGGACTAGCATAGAAGTCAAACAAACCTTTCAAATTTCCTGGTCTGAGATTAATACTAGGTTTGAGATCAATATAAATACTTACATCTTCTTAAGTAAGCATCGTGATAATGTAGGAAGTAAGCAAGGTGCACTGTAGGAGAGGTTGTTTAGGTGGCTGATGGACTGGAAGTATTGTTTAACTAAAGCACAACCTCTATATGGCACATTGGTAGCTTGGATTATGAAGGAGATTGTAACCTGCCCAAATATGATGTGGAAAGTGTTGGTAATGAAAACTTTTCTTTTTGAACAAAATCACAATTAAATGCTTAGGCGCAACTCAGTAAATGATAGTATATTTTTAAATAATACTTTTTTACTTTTTGCCTTTTTTCTGTCAAAAAACAAAAGGTCTGGATGTCTCGCCCTCTCTTGTGAGAGAATTTTTCAACTTCAATAAAATCCTGGGACAGGATGTGTAACAAAGGATTGCCTCTTTCCTGACTAAAAGTGGAGGGGTTTGTGGAAAGCAGCCTGATAAAAAGAAGTGATGAGGTGAGTCTCTATGCTAATGTAAATTTTACCTCTCCTTTGTATGCATGACTAGAATAAGTAAAAAGAAGCAAATGGATTTATGGCTTAAATTTGTAAATTTTTTACTTGTTTTATATTCAGGACAGTAATGTAAATTACATGATTTGTTCAGTGTGGTTATAAGAATAAGTACATTTTTTGTAAAAGGCCGATTAAACTAAATAGCTTCATTTGCCCTCAGCAATGGCTATAATGAACAATAATAGAGTAGGCTGAGTTTGCTGTATGTGGCTTTGGATGGGTTTTTGTAGGCTTTTTTAAAAATTTTTATTTCCCTTTGTGACAAATGGCTTTGCTTGAATAGCTTGCCTTGTTTGGTGTGATTGGTGTCCAGACTGAGTACATTAGGAAGCGATGATACTTATCTGTGTGGTTCACATGCTAATTAAATTGACTTTACCAAAGCATACAAATGTCTCCCATTATTTTCTTTTCTCTCACCTTGTGTCAATACATTTCTGTAATAAATCAGAAAATCTTTATTCAGCAGGCAGATAGTATTTGAGAAGTGCAAAAGATGTATTCATTTCGACAATTTTTACTTTTTTCAGAGACTAGCTTGCAAAGGCAGAAAAGTATCAGGAAAGAAAATCTTTCCTATGCCGATTTCTTTGGTTTGTACATCATGAAAAGAAAAGATAAACTGATGGGCTGCTTATTCATAAATTGAAAAGGTAGATTTATATGACAGCTTAAATGAGGTCTGGCAAAATCCACTTTTAAGCTTGGGTTTTTATATTGTGAGAGCTGTTTAACTAATCAAACAAAGGTGGTGTTTCATGAATAATTCATGGTGCAGTGCCTGTGAAGGAGCAGGCTGTAAATACCTGCAGCAGAACTCCAGTGACACCATAATTAGCACCTGGCTTTGGCTGGCTGATGATGTCACCTTGCTCTGACGTGTAATTATAACATGACCTGTTGATGAAATTGTTGGTGTGTAATATTTCCCCTCTCCAGTGGCATGCACTCTTTTACACAAACAAAGGAGAGGGGGTGGCCCTCCCATCCATTAATCCCAGCTCAGTAACCCCTGCCTGCACCCTGCTTTACCTCTTAACACCCCTTGTCATCCTACATCCTCCTTTTCTTCTTTTATTCACCGTGATCTTCCCTCCAACATCCTGCTAACACCATCAAGGGAGATGTCATTTTTGCTGTTCCCACAAATTTTGAGTATTGGACCTGCAAGTAACATGTCTAATTAATCAGCCTGAAATGCCCCCAGTCAGAATTTCTTTGGGTACAAAGCAAAAGTTACCCGTCAAAATTTTGTTGACACCATTTTTGTTGTTGTTTTTTTAATGAACACATTGCTAACTTTACTTGTAACTGATATGGAAAAGCACAATATTATCTCTTTAACTTTACCAGACTTACGGTAATTTGTGAACCAGTAATTTCCTTTCTCTGAATCTCAGAGGTGTTTACACAACAGTGAATTGCTCATTTGTGCAGAATGAATTTTATTCAAGGCAGTGTCCTGGTTGTTATCTCCTCAATGATGTCTTCCACAGGTGTTTGGATTTGTATTGCTGCTGGTTAGTCTGTGATGTGTGTTCATTTAGGGATGTAAATATTGACCAGGACTCTGCATTGTAATCACACAGCTCTCTGGGACTGAACTCACAGTCTCTGCTCCCAAAGTGACAAAGCTATCCACAGAGCCAGAATAACACATGGGCAAATGACATTTCATAAAGCAGCTGGAGTGATATTTCTTTACTTGGAACCTCTTGTTTTTTATGACTGAGACTCAGGTGTGAATTTATGTTTGGAAAGGAATGTTGGTGGCAAAGAGAAAAATGAAACTTTTTCCTTTGTCAGACAGTCTTATAGAGATAAGTATTTCCAATAATTACAAGCCAGGGAGACACATTATAGCAGCTCCTTGTTTAAAGGTTTAGGAATAGTCAGAGGCTTGCTTTCTGCATTGGGCCATATCAGTCAGTACCGGCAGATAGGGAAGGCAGCAAAACCTCTTTAATCTTGTAGGAAAGAGTAAAATTTGTGATTTATAGGCACTTCCTGTTTAGAGAACTGAGTGCAATTTCCATTTGCAATGGGCAATGCTGAAGCGCAAGGAGGGTCACTCTGCCATCTGTGTGTACAGAAATATCCTGCCTGGTAACATGGGGCAGTAACTAACTGTAGGAACTTGCTTCTTTAGTCTTACACACAAAATTAACCTCTGGCTAATTACAGTTCTGGCAACAAAATTTTTGTTAAGTATCTTTTACTTTCTTTCTGTGATTTAGAAGTCTTTTAGGGTTTTTATGAGAAGGTTTGTTACACTGTTTATATCATCACACAAAGGACGATGAAGAAGAGGCATGGGACCAGGAGACACTACTTGGCTGCTGAACAGTGACCAATATTTCCACAGATGATAATTAAGTGATCGTAAAGCCAAATATTATCAAGAAATGAAGGAGATGATGTCTGATTGAAGAATGAGATTGAGAGTCACAGCCTCTGCAGGCTGAGGATTTGCTTTCATTTTTTTTTATGGCTTAAACTCAGCAAGTGCTTGTGTGTACTAGAGCAACGAGCCCTCTGTGCAGGTGTGAGAGGGACCTCTCATCTCTGCTGAGATGCTCATGGTTGAATAACTGAGCTACAGGCAGCCCTTCTTCTTGCATGAGCCACTGAGCTGCAAAATCGGAGAGTGTCTGCACAAACACGAACATGATTGCATCTGACTCTTGTACCCAGCGTGGAGAAGTTGCATATTGCCATTCTGTGGGCTAAATGATATCTAAGCCCAAGACATAACAATGAGGCAATTCCAGTGTTTGCATATGAATTTTTATGGCACTAGCACATTATTGCAACAGTTTAGTACTGTGGCTAGCAAAAATGTACAACAAATTTTGTGGGGATTGATTTTAAATTGACAGAAAACATGGTTTCCCAAAATATCTAATGTTTTTCACTCTATAATAAAAATTTAAAATGAACTCTTTCTATTTGCAGAATCACAAAATAAGCTGAGTTGGGAGGGACCCGTTCCATCCACAAGGATGGAGTCCAGCTCCTGACCCTGCACATCACCGCCTCCAGTAATCACACCATGTACCCAAGAACATTGTCCAAACGCTTCTTGAACTCTGTCAGGTTTGGGACTGTGTCCACTTCCCTGGGGAGCCTGTCCCGGTGCCCAACCACCCTTTGGGTGAAGAATCTTTCCCTGATATCCAACCTAAACCTCTCCTGACACAACTTCAAGCCTTGGGTCTTTAAAGATTCCTTTTTAAAACTAATGTTATTGTTATTATCCTTGCCTCAATATTTTGGCAGTTAATGCAAAAGTGAGAATTTTTGCTCATTTGTCTGTTTAAAATGCTTTCCTAGTTCTGAGAAATAATTATAATACGAGTTAATAATATGCTTTTCTAGAGTTAGGAAAACCCTCAAATTGTCAAATCTGAATGAACTGTCTCCATGGAAATTTAAAGATAAAGCAAAATATGTAGGACCAATCTGAAAAAAAAAAAACAATTTTTAATAAAGATAAAGTAAGTTTATGCAGAATAAGAGGTAAGATTTCCAATACCTCTACTGTTCCTCCTCTCACTTTTTTTTTCCCCCTCCTTCCTTACTTTGGGACTATCATTTGCCAGAAGTGATTACCAAAGACAAAAAAAAAAAAAAAAAGGTTTTCTCCTGTATTTCAAGTTCTTGTTAGCACAGAGGTCTGGAATGTTAATTACAGAACTCAATTATCTCAAGTTAAAATTCTATTAACCATGCAGGAAAGAAATGGAGTTGTCAAGGTAAAATGAGCTAAGCGAAGTGAAGAGTGGATGGGCTACGGTCATAGGATGGATACAGTGAGTAATGGGTGAGTGCTTTAATATTTAATTCTGTGTCTTGTACAAATGTGTTTTTATGCCCATTTGACAAGTTTCTGAATGCTTGAGTAGCATCCATATTTTTAAGAGAAAAATGATTTAACTGTTAGACAATACTGCAACAAATTACAGATATATGTGAAATTAGATTAGCTACCACTCCCCAAGTAACCTAATTATTGCTTTTTGCTTGTCTAATGTGTCTCACATCTGTTAGTTCTGTTTGGATACATAGCTAAATCACTGGTTGTGCCAAAATTGTTTGCAAGTGATATTGCTTCACTTGTTTCTTTAATCTTTTTCTAACTAAAAAAAGGAAAATAATTAGGCAGATGTTTTTGTCTCTGATGAATACAATGAAAAATCTATACTGTTTCTAACATTAAAAAAATTGTAAATAATATTTTATTGAGACAATCCTTGACTGACTACTAATGAATTTCAAATTTATTGGTAGCTTTAGTCTGCACTAAGCAATTATTTGACTTAAGAATATTTTCCTTTTTTTTAAAGACAAGGAAACAGTAAGGAAGAAGAAATATTATTATTCTGAGCTTACAGCTTCCAGTTTAGGCTGTAAATATGGCTTGGGGCAATGAGAATAGATGTCATTATGGGATAGAAGGTCATAGTTTCTGGAAGTGGATTTTTACAAGATAAGGAAAGAGACACATGGCAATATTTTATTCTGTCAAGCTTTGAACTGCTGATGAAACAAAATGTACTATTTTCAAAAAACACCTAATTGATCTAGGAGCTGTTTTTCTTAAGTTAATGGAACCTTATTTCAGAGAACATTGATGGAAATGTGGTTGTCTGATCTACTCAATATTTTTATAAGCCCTATTTTTAAATGGTTTGCAAATTCATCTTTAAAGTTCTGAAGACACAATCTTCAGAATGCATTAACCAAGAATCTCCCCTTCCTTAATTCCATCGGACAATTTTTATCAGTAATTAGTTTTTAAAATCCCTAAAATTATTAAAATGGAGTTATTTTTTTGACATATTTAACAGCAGTAGTCTTCCAAAAAATTTATTACCTGTGTGCTTCAGTAAAAGATAGAGCCTGATTTTGAGAATGATTTTTAGTATGCACAAAATTGAATCCTTGGATTACAGCTTTTACCATCTGTACTTTTCTGAATTTCTTTCTGACAATGATGGTATAATTTATCTATTTTTATATTATTTTTATGTGGTATGGTACTTTTAATATGGATGCATAGAAATTCAAAGAGGCAAATAACATTTTCCATGAGAAGACATCAGCTCAAACACTATTGACTGAATTTTGAAGTGATATGCTTTAGATGGTGTAAATCAAAGCAGTTACTTGCATGAAGCAAAGCTCTTGTCCTAATTAATTTCATCTCTTCATGCAGATTTTCTGTTAACAGATTTCCTGAGAGATAGCTACTTCGTTTCCATCTGCCTGGGGATTTCAAGTCCTACCTTTCCTAGTCTCTATAGAAAAATCAATATAAGCAATTTGTTATAGAAGGTATGACATGCATCTTATATGAGGGAGGTGTTTGCTTTCTTAGTGCAATGGAGCTTGATGATGAACAAAATGTATTCGCAAAATTAGTCCTGAAATTCATAAAATAAAATGTGAAATTTTGCAGAATGGCCCAAGATATTTTTGGTGAAGGAACTCTAGTGTGTTAGTGCTAGTATGATTTTAAGCAGTCAGACAGTCTCCACAATCTTGTCTTAGTGCGCAGAATGATTCCATTGATGTCAATGTTAAAATATGTATTGACTTCAGGGGGTCCCAAGATTATTCCTCTTGTGTCCTTACTACCTACACATCAATGACCTGCTAATATTAGATAGATGATTTGAATAGGCAGTCATACCATAGGTAGAGTTGTGGAAGTTATTTATTGTTAACTGGGACTACAGTAGCATTTCATCTGACTTTAAAATCCTTAAGTTGCCCACAAATCTTTGAAATAGGACATGGATTTTTAACCTTCACACCAGCCTTATTGAGAAACAAAAGGCAAATGCTAAAGCAAACAAAGCTCCACTGGGGGAAAAAAAAAAAAGTCAAAGTAAATATAATTTAATCTAAAATCATATGAAGCCCCTTTCTTCTGGGTAGCCACTTGCTTTGTCCAGTAGTGAAACAAAGTTAAATTGGAAAAAAACCCCATTTTTCCTCTCAAAACTTGCCTCTGAACTTTTCTCTTTTACATTCCAAGTGCATTCCCGTTCCACTCAAATACTCTTCTCATACCTATTGTGCACCCTTTCCTGTGTACTCATTTCTCACTTCAGTGCTGTCAGGAGGCAAAACTAATTTACTTCTATTTCTTTGTAATTATTCCTTCCTGATTGATATTACTTATTATCACAATGTTCAGAATGACTTCGTTCCTCATTTCAGCTGAGACACAATCAGATACAATGATAGGAGAAATTATCTTTTTTCTTGATCAGCAAAATATTGCAATCCTGAAATTTAAATTTTGCCTGCCAACAAGAATTCATTCCACAAGAGATAAAAAGTATCTTTCTGAGTTTTTCTGCCCATAGCAGTGGACTTCATGAGTGAGAAATGGAGACTGTAAGGTCAGCTAATTCAGGACAAACAATACAGGTCAGACAGGTACAATATTATGACTGAACATCTTTAAAGATATGGTTTTTAGGAGACTTATGGAGGGTATGAAAAGGAAAATCCCACAGGAATCACTGTCATGTTGTATTATTTTACTGAAACCAAATAGAATCAAATTGGCTGAATAAAATACCTGTTCAAGTCAATGAAAATGTATCTGTTTGGTCCAGATCTTGTGTAAATCTTGAGTGCTGTTTTGCACTTCTTCTTTCTTATACAGTAATTTATTAAGCCAGAAAAAATATTTTGGTTATTCTCATTAATCTTTGATGCTGCCTGTTCAAATTGTGTAATGTTATCACACCCACCTCTGAAATGGTTTCCTATGCCATTAGTTAGAAATGAATGACTGTGGCTTTACCTGAGGATAAAAAAAGCTCTACCTTCATCTTTGAGGTCACTGATCAGAAACGGAATTTAGAAAAATACTTTGAGGGTAGAACAGTAACAATACAACTTAATAGCTTCGATTCTCTAAGCTTTCCTTACTTTCAGTGTGTTTTGAAACATTACCTACTTGTAATAGGTAGGTAACACCTGTTATAAAAAACACAGTAGCTCCAAAAGTAATAGTAGTGTAATTTGACAAGAGGACAGATGCAGCCTCAGGAATTTAAGTACAATTGAAAGACTGCTTGAAAAGATATCCAGCACTGGTCACCCTGGAGAGGAGACCTGGTCTGTCTTACATTTCTGTCTGCAGCTTATAACCACTACAGACAACTCAGAAAACCCTTGCTTTTCCCCACCAGGAAGAAAGTCATTCAACATGAGTAAAGGCATTCAACATGAGCTACATCTAGTCTAGGGAGACCCACTGCCTCTGTGTGGGACAGACAGAACAAGAAGGGTTTTGGTCAGCTAGGAGTTAAGCAGCTCACCTTCTCCTGACGATTATGTCTGCAATGGTGAGTGATGAAGTTGGCTCTTACTTTCCTGGACTCTTCTCTGAGGATGGCAAGAAAGCATGTAAATTCCCCTGGGAATGTTTTTCAGAGAAAACCACCGATGCTTATTTGGGTGCCGTTGTCTCTTGAAACCTGTCCTATTATTTACATAGCACCCTTGGGGAGATAAAGCATTCCTCCAAAGATGGAGGAATAGGATGTCAAAATTCAACTACCTCCTCTGCTGGAGAAAATTTCAAAATTTCAGTCTAAAAAGCACTGTATTTTTTATTTGTTTTCTTTCCAGAAGCATCTCATATATTATGAGTCATATACTAGATTATATGACCTACTGGAAGGGAAACCCCATACTTTCTGTTGGAGCAGTGCTGTAGAGCAGAAAAGCGCAGCATGTAGAAAAATGCTTGGAAAGAAAGGCTGATCAATTGTTTATTTTTTTTTCCATGATATGTTTTGAGATCTGAGCACTAATGAAGTATTTCTGTGAGTATTTCTATGTTAGCAATTTTATTATATGCAGGTAGATGCTCATGGCTGGAAGGGACAATCATATAGATCTATTTAACTCCCTCGCTAACACAGAGGGTAAAAATACTCCAGTGATTGCTATAAATAAATAAAAATAAATAAATAAATAAAATCTACTAGCTCAGACAAAGCTAGAAAACCCCTTTTAGAAAATGGAATATTTGTGCTCTGACTATTTGTACCTATGAGCTAATTTTTTGCACTGGTTCTTCAGGTGATCTATTGAACTTCATTCCACTGGAAAATTTGGGCGTGAAAGTTTACCATTTTATCAAAAAGTGCAGTGAAGCACAGACAGGTGTGACAGCATATGAATGTCTGTATTTTCTGGGAGTTGGACAGATTTTTTTCTTTTAAAAAATAGTTCCTAGAACACTTTCAATACCCCAGATTTAAGAAAATGCAGGTATTAAAACCAGTATCTTCAGTTGTATATATCAATGTTCAGAAAAATGCTGTCAGGCTCAGACAGCTGGGAACATTAATAGCAAAGGAAAACATTTTAGCTGGTTTTTCAAAAGGTCTCTATGAGAAAACTTAAACAAAATATTGCTATTAATTTGCTATTTTTTAAATCAAGTTATTTCAGCTGAGATTTGTTTTGTCTGTTATGCTTGAAAGTATCAAAAAGGATACCAAGCCTGTCCTTATATGCCTCTTAAAAAGTCAAGTCGGTTTAGAAAATCACAAAAGATTTAGATCTTTCTGCCTTGTGGTGAAGAAGCAAGTTCACATGGCTTGACCACACTATTGTGAAACTCTATCTCACTTCAGAGATGGGATTAAGAAAAACATAATTCTCAATAAAAATGGTCACCTGAGCTCACCTCTGCTGCTCTTGGAATTTGAAAAATCATCTCTTCAAAGATACTGTGCTCAAAGGACATATTAGTGCAACCAGCATCTTTATGCACAGTTTCTTCTTTGCTCTATTATCTTCCAAGCCCCCTTTATCCAAGCACAAATCTAAACTTTGTTCACCATCAGTGAATAAGACATTCAACTACAGAAGCACGTGGGACCATAAGGGAATTAATAATAGCTTTCAAGTGGAAATAAGTGATTCATTTTTCAAACTGAAAGATGAGAAAAGAAATAGCATTTGGGACACAAATTGGGACACAAATAGGAGTCCCTGTTTCTAGGAAAAGATATTCAATCTTGTTAAAATACTTATGATTAGCATAGCTTTTAATTTAATTTTCATTTGTGGAAACGTTACACTATGTTTGCTGTTGTACTTGGTTAAGTGAGAGGTAATATCTTTGTTAATAGGATTTAAAAGGAATGAACTGCTTGGGTTTTGTAGGACTACAACATTGTTTTCACTTTGCCTCACATGGCCAGCCCAATATAGGAAAACAGCTGAGCTATAATAGAAAGCACTAGAAATATTTTTGGTCTTAATTCAAGCTGTCAGTCCTGTAATTCAAAAAATAGTTTGGCTGGTCTGTGAAGCCTTTCAGACTTCCACTCCAAAGTTTCCATGGAACAATAGGCCAGGCAAGACCACAGCAGTGTGTGACTGCTGCAATGCTTCCCAGGTACTTCACCCACCTGACCCTCTGCAGGTCTCTGACTGAAGGGTGCTGTGGCTTTCTGGCCCACCTAGAGAAGTGTCCTCTGTGCAAACGAGAGCAAGGTGAGGCATGATTGGAAGTCACCAGGGAGTGGAGGGCTTAAGTGCCATCCTCTCCCTTTAGACATAACCTGTGAAATCCAGAGAAACCTGAAAGTTGTCAGGCAGGAGGGAAGTGTTTGCCTTCATGAATGACAGATAAACCTGCCCAGTTGTTTTCTGTCCAGTTTGTTTCCACTGTACAGAGACGCCTCCCCAGCTGGTATTTTCTTCTTTAACTCCCTCATTGAAGCTGTGTACATTGGAACCTGATACCTGATGTGTATGCGAGGGAGAGCACTGCTGCACCAGAGGCACCATAAATAACTACTCACATCAGAGGCAGGGCATATTGCAGGTGCGGCTCATAATGTTAATACTGAGTGTTAATGTCCTGCCCTTTATCTTAATTAGTGTTGCTTTCAATTAGAAGTAAGCCATTCACTTTGGAATAGAAGAACTGACCCACACCTCTTCCCTAAATTTGAATTATCCCCACGATTAAGAGCTAAGTATCTGTCTTGACACTTACAGACCTTTATCACCATCATGTCTGAATGACTGGCAATGAATTGCAGCACTCATTCACCCACCCATTCCATAAATTTTTCATATCAGATATTAAAGATGTCTTCTGTGATGCATTTCAGGACAGCAGTTTATGTGAATTACAAAGCCCGACAAATTTCCCTTATAACCTAACACTGTCCTTTGTACTCACTCTTGGTTCTTTTAACAAGTTTCAGAAATTGACAATTTTGTGATACTGAATTCTAAGCAACTTATTTGCATCCCCATAG